TGCAAATATTAATTGTTGTAAAAAGTCAAGGTTTAGTTTAAGTTAATACTGGTTTCGTGCGCCCGAAAACGTGGACGAAAAATTGTATTCACACACACATACACACACATTCATTTTTTCAATTCAATCTAGTGGCAGTGTCCTAAAGTATTTATCAATAAATTACTATATTTACCAGTAAAGCGGCTTCAGCAGCCTCCAAAGCAGGCCTGGCTTCCTCCAATTTACCTTCAGCAACTGCTGTTTCCTCAGAAATAACCTCCACAAGTTGGGAGGCTCTTTCTTTCACCTCCAACACTTCTACTTTGATTGCTTCGGCAGCTGTTTGGGATTCTGTGACACTGGCCAACACCTAATAGATAATTTATATAAATTATTTTTCCAACTCAAAATAATAATCTTATATAAAAAAATAGAGCTCTCGATAAAATAATCCACTAAAACTCGAAAACGGCTAAACCGATTTGGCCAGTCTTAGTCTTGAAAAATTCGTGCTAATCTGTAGGTTGTCGGAAAGGTGAGATATTATTTCAAAATCGCGTAGAAACTTTACATTTTTAATTTGAACATTTTTGTAGAAGCGTAATTTGAATAAAACAATGAACGGTGGCTAATACGTCAAATGTCAAACGTTTTTAACAGATGATGTTCTATTACGTTTATTAGGATGTTTTACGTGAATATTATGCAATTATGATTAAACTGTAGTAAGTAGTTTTGTTTGTATTTTTATTTATACACAAAAACGTTAGTAAACGGGACGCAAGTGTTACTAGAAACTCAAAATATCAACTTTTTTGAAATGTTAATATAAAAATGCACCTTTTGGCATATTTTTCTCAAACACGGTGCTCTGAAAGATCTCATTTGTATAATTATATACTCATTAGTATTTATAAAACATTTTCTCGGTTATTATTATTTTTTATTTATGTTAATTAAATTCCGAACCTAAATTTGGTATCGATCAAAGGGATATTTTGTCGAATAACATATTCTCAGTTATAATTTCCCAGAATTTATCGAAGAATAGATAGTAATATATGAAGGTCCGGGGTTAAAAAGTTACACCACCGATGTGTCGAAAATCAGTAAAGTTAAGCATTGTTTAACAACAATATTTGAAAGTAGAGGGACAAAGATGTATAACCAGCTATAACCTTGATTCTCATGACTTTGTTATCGGGAGATAAACTTTAATCTTTAAAAATCCATAGTAAAAGTATTTTCTTCTGCATTAGTAGCATTAGTTAAAAATGTAATTATTTTGTAAAATACCTGTAAAATTAAAACAAGACATTAAACCTGTTCCAAGTTACTCCGCCTATAGGGTAAAAAGGTCTAGATAACAAATTTTTGAAAGACATCAAAAAAGCACATTTCTACAATGATGAAGTAGCTGACAGTTTTACTGAACGTAGTCAGATAATTGTTTGTTTGAAATGTGTTATTTATTGTGATATAATTGTTTGGATTTTTATAATATAATTAATTTTTGTTCAAAGTCAAATTGGACGTTTGCGCCTCGCCCTGCACTACTTATATACATTTTATTAAATTTACTTTAATTCATCGAATGTTACTTGAAACTTTTTAAAAAGCAGGTCAAAGAAGAAATACTTAATTCATTTTTTATCTCCCCCGCAGAAATTTAAAAATTTTTGTATAGACTCAGTAGTATTATTTACAATTATACACAAAATCCCGAATACAAAAATAATCTGACTTATTGAAACGTAATCAATAAGTCGAAAGACCAAAAAAGACTTGGATTGGATTATACCATGTTTTCTATAGAAAGTGTATAAAACTTCCAGGCAAAATATAGATAAACTAATGGGGTTTATTGTTTTTGTAATACCTCATTGTATATAGCATTCAAACAGCACATCCTTATACACTTAAAGTATTAATATTTTTGATTCTCTAGAAATTGTTTAGGATATACCTTACTTAGCAAAACAACGTTTGCCTGGTCAGCTAGTATTAAATAATTTTTCCAACTCAAAATAATAATTCTATTTAAAATTTCCTCTGGTCAATTTTGAGTTTTTAAGAAATTGTGCCAGTTGACCATAATAACCTAATTAATTGGAATGGAAAAATTATTCGAAAAACGTAAATAGGAAATATTTGTATAGACATCTTTGAATTTTATTTAATTTGCTGCGCTCAAGAACTACATATAAGATAGTATTTATATACCAAAATATTCTTTATTATGTCTACTTTAATTCTGCATATTTTGACTTTATATTTTTCTTAGAAAATTTTGAGTTATTTAAATTCCAATTCAAGTCCACGTACTTGAATAGGTGATATGGAAATGAATATCGCACGTCGAGTTACTTTTAAAGTTTACGAAACATACATTTTAGGAAGCAATTGTACATTAATATATTCTTTAATTAGTTGTTTTTGATACTGTATTTTTACTTTTTATAGTTTTCTTTGAAAATTTTGAGTTATTTTCATTTTCCTCCAAAAAGTGCAAGAAAATTAATAGGTGATATGGAAATTAATATCGCACGTCGAGTTACTATTAAAATTTACAAAACATACTTTTTAGGAAGTAATTATACATTTGGATATTCTTTAATTAGTTGCCTTCGATACTGTATTTTTAATTTTGTTAGTTTTCTTTGAAAATTTTGAGAAATTTACATTTTCATCCAAGGAGTACCCTGAGTTGTATATACGAGGTCTGTTCAAAAAGTACCCGGAATTTTCGTTTTTTCAAAAAAATATTTATTTATTCGTCTACATTAATGTGGTCCCCTTCAAAGTAGTCCCCCCCAGATATAATACACTTATGCCAGCGTTTTTTCCAATTTTCGAAGCACCCTTGATATTCACTTTTCGATATGTCCTTGAGCACTCTCAGCGATTTTCTTCAATCGAGGAAAACCGCCGTCCTTTCATGGGTCTCTTCAACTTTGGGAATAGGAAAAAGTCACACGGAGCCATATCTGGTGAATTTTTGCACTTTGCAACACTTTATTTCATTTTTTACGCAAAATTTAATACAAATTCTTTGACTTTTCAATTCTTCCATTGTAAAAATCGCCGAGCTCAGAAAAACACGTCGAACCTTAGCGACTACCACAGACAAAGTAATCAGTGAATATAGCTGAAAATTTCATCATACTTTAGGGGCATGTATACCAACACAATAAAAATAAAAATTTTGACAATCAGACACTCCAGACCCGCGAAATTTAATTATTAGTAATTCCGGGTACTTTTTGAACACACAATCTTAGGCACGATATATTATTTTAACACTTCCAAATATCGCATGTCTCTCTATAACGCTCCCTTAAACATAAATAGTCTGGTAAAAAGAAGTTTAAATTTCCTTCGTCTACTTACAATATCGGCCTTTGCAGAAGCGACTTGAATCTCCTTGTTTTTAACTTCCAATTCCTGTTTTAAAATATCGACACTCTCACCAGCTTCTACCAGTTTGACCAAACCCGTGGTCATCCGGTAAGCCATCAAGGCAATATTTTCGTGTTTGTCCTTGTAGATTTTTTTGTATCCGTCCAAAAAGAAGAGGTAGGATTTTGGTGTCACGTGCGTCTGGCGACGGAATCTAATTAGGAAAAAAATTAGTAGTGCATGGCATCGTTTTGCCTTAAGGCAAATTGCTGGAGTACGGGAATTGAACATTCGAGGAACGAAAATAATTAAAGATTGTTTTAAATGATTTCAAATAGATTGTTTATTATGAATGCATACTCTAAATTTATAAGTGCTTATTAAATTGGGCGACCAGCGTATATTCTACAAACAACTTGTGTGTATGCTATGTTTACAAGAAATTTGTAGATTTTTTTTAAATCTGATTTTTTTTGTTTTTAATTTTTTTCGAAATTTGGAATTTTTTTAAAATATCGAGATTTCTTGGAATTTGAAAAAAATCGATTTTTTTAAATGTTTTTGAGAATTTGGAAATTTTAGAGAAAATATTCGTTTTTTTTTTGTAAATTTGGTAATATTCCCAGATTTTGGTAGAAATCATTTTTTTATTTTGATATTTTTATAAATTTTCCAAAATTTAGATTTTTTTTGAAAACTCAGAAATATTTACAAATTTTTGGTAAAAATCGTTTTTTTTTAAATGATGATATTTTTTAAAATTCACCAAAATTTAGATTTTTTTATATATTTTATAGAAATCGATTTTTTTTAATTTTCCAACCTTTAGATTTTTATCAAAACTTTGGAAATAGTCCCACATTTTTGTTTAAATCGTTATTTTTTAAATTGATATTTTTTTTAATTTTACCAAAATTTTGATTTTTTTTGAAAATTTAAAAATATTTCCAAATTTTTGGTAATAATCGTTTTTTTTATTTTTGACATTTTTTAAAATTTATCAAAATTAAGATTTTTTTTTGAAAATTTGGAAATAGTCCCAAATTTTTGTTTAAATCGTTTTTTTTTAATTTTCTTAATTTGTTTTAATCGATTTTTTTAAATTTATATATTTTTTAAATTTACCAAAATTTAGATTTTTTTGTTCCTTTTGCTCTTTTAAAAATATCAGAATTTGCTCGTCAGTAGGGTTCTTTTTGTTTTCCTAAAAAATCTTTTGATAGCTAGAAAAGTCTCATTTTTTTAGAATGCCAGAATTTGCTCGTCAGTAGAGTTCCTTGTGCTTTTCTAAAAATCTTAGAATTTGCTCGTCAGTAGAGTTCCTTTTTTTTAAAAAAAAAAGTATTAGAATTTGCTCGTCAGTAGAGTTCTGTTTAAAATTATTTTTTTCAGAATTCGCTCATCAGTAGAGTTCTTTTTTTAAATAAAGTATTAGAAGTTGCTCGTCAGTAAAGTACTTATTTTTAAAAAAAGTATTAGAATTTGCTTGTCAGTAGAGTTCCTTTTTATAAAAATAAAAAAAATTGCTTGTCAGTAGATTTCTTAAAAAAAAGTTTTTTTTCAGAGTTTGCTCATCAGTAGAGTTCCTATTTTTTAAAAAAGTATTATAATTTGCTCGTCAGTAGAGTCCCTTTTTTTAAAAAAATATTAGAATTTGCTCGTCAGTAAAGTTCTTTTTTATAATAAATGATAACATTCTAGATCCTCCCCCCACGAAGTAATGCCTAACGGCGGTTTCCGTGGGAATCTGAGGCAAAAGTAAAGCGAAGGTTTTAGTCGGTATTATACCCAGACGGTATTGAATACGACATACCAAGACAAAAGACCTAGTCTGGGATGCATAAATACATTTACTTTGCTATAAAAAAGACACGCACACACACACATCAATTTTTTCTAAGGTATACCAAAATATATAACAAATTTCATTTACGGTCTGGATAAAAACAAATTGAATAAAATAAAATAACAAGCAAAAAAATGAAAAAAAAACAGGAAAAAATGTGTTCACACACACATACTTTTTCTAAATTTGGTCTCATTCGATTCAGAATGGCTTGAAACGTCGAGAAAACATAAAATTAGCGATTCGGATTTTTTTATGAAAACATAAACTTTCCCTTCGGAAAGTTAATAATAGAGGTAAAAAAAAGTCTATTGTCTACTCACTTGTCATAATAAGCTATGCAAGTATCTGCCACACCATCCTGCACGACACCCATGATTTGTATGACTTCTTCTTTGATTTCAGGAGAACACACCATATCAAAATTACCTAAAAATAATTGAAAATTGTAGAGTAAATTAGCACGAATTCTCAAGTCATTTACCCCTTTATTATTACCTAAAAAGTGTTCCGACACAGCAACTAAAGCATCCCTCGGCCATCTGTGATACCAATCCATCGTGCAACCAGAAATTAAACCCGGGAACATGAGTGATCTGTTTCTGAACTTTTCACCAACCTACGCAAAACAATAACATAACTAGTTGGTTTGGTATTTTGCCTTGAGGCAAGTTACATGAACTTCCCGATATGTGTAAATAATCGACTTAATAAAAAAAAAGTGTAAATAATATACTTCATCAATCCTACTTTAAAAAAAACGATAATAATTTTACAGTAATATTACTACTACTTGTCGTAAGGCCGTAATATTACAGTAAGTTTTCTATAAGACCATGGTATATATCGCCAAAAAAAGTTCCATGAAAATCGGCTTAAATTTTTTTTTCAACAGTTAATTACAAGAAAACGGCTCGGTAGATTTTCACCTAAAATTAATCAGTATCATTCCCAACTAATATCTTTCGAACAGTTTTTGATTTTTTAAAATCGGTTCGGTAGGATGAGCTTAAATGTGGACGAAAAGTTTAACACTTTTTTTCAAATTGCAAAGAAACGGCTTGGCAGATCGTCGCTTAAAACTGACAAACGATAGTCCTCACTAAAATACATGAAATAGATTTTAAATTTCTAAAATCGGTTCAGGCGTTTTTGAAAAAACGTCGATCAAAAGTCTAATTTTGACAAATGCCAAAAAAAACAATACCAATTTTTGCAAACTTTGACGAATTTTTAAAGCTAAACCAGTTGTCGTAGGGCCGTAATATTTTAGTATGATCTAGAAGACTATGGTGTCTACCGTCAAAAAAATAATCATAAAAATCGTCAAAATTTTTATTTTAAAAACTTTATTACAAGAAAACGGCCCGGCCGATCTCTACCAAAAACTAATCAGCACGATTCCCAACGAATATCTTTCGAACGGTTTTTGAATTTTCAAAATCGATTCAGAATTGCGGGCTAAAACTAAGACGAATTTTTTTTTACTTTTCTGCGATTTATAAAAAAACGGCTTGGGCGATCGTCGCACAAAACTGACAAATAATAGTCCTCATCGAGATACATCGAATGGCTTTTAAATTTTTAGAATCGGTCCAGCCGTTTTTGAGAAAACGTCGATTTACGGCAAAAAATCTGTTCACATACACGCACACACATACACACACACACACACACATACTTTTCCCATAAATTTGGTCTCATTCGATTCAGAATGGCTTGAAACGTCGAGGAAAACATAAAACTAGCAAATCGGATTTTTTTATGAAAACATAAACTTCTCCTTCGGGAAGTTAAAAAAATGTAACTCAATCAATATTACTGGTAATATTTTTATTATTTACCGGTGAGAAACACAAAATGATGTGCAGATTAGCCCTGGATCTCTCTATAAAGAAGTCGTATAAGTTGTCACCGGTTGGTACCCGTTTTGGCTGTGCCTTTTTCATTTTGGGAACCAAATCTGATGTGATCTCATCTGTAGAAGAAATTTAGACGTTAAAAACTAGGGTTTGTCGGTTTCCAAAAACCGGTTTTTTGACAATAATTATGGAATTCGAAAACCGGGTTTTCAGCAAAAAAGTCGGTGTTCACTGTATAAATGGAAAATGACAAATATAGCCAAATATAAATGATAGATGAAAGCGTTTTGATGCTTGAAATCATATCGGTTCAATAGCATTTGATATCTTATCAGTCTGCAATGGTTCCCAGAAAGGTTTTGTATATATTAATTTAGATTTTTTTATACGAGTGTGTGTTTTAATTTAAATTAATGTGACTTCTTCTTGATGAAGTAACTTCCTCTACTCAAACTTAAAAAAAGAGTTTTAAACCCTAGAAGCCACAAATAAAAAAAGCAAAAGCTTAGAATTATTATATCAGACTTTAAAAACAATTAAGCATAATTTGGTCGCAAGTATGAGGGTATTTTCTATTTCAATAGCAATTCGATAGACGTTCTCAGTTTTTTTAAATCATATTTTATTAAACAAAAAAACACAATTAGAATGTTTAAAATTAATTAATTAAAATTGCTCGGAACAGACAATATCCGAGTTTAGCTAAATTGTTTTTAAAACTAAAATTTATATTAACAAGTATGTAACAACATGTATCTATTTTTTTATTTTATTTAAAAATGTATTATTTTTATTTATTCGAAAACTTTTCTTTCACTATCAGAAAAATATTTTCATTCTTATATGTGAAAATGATGCATGAATAACGAATAATTATTTTCAAAGTTATTTAATCAAAATAAACTATTATTTTTTAGTTCTACTAATTAAAATAAAAATAATTTTGTTTACTATCCATGAAATTGAACAATAAATTAATTCAGTCAAATACTGCTCTAAATCACACTAAATTTGCGGATAAATTACAGAATATTCGAGCAAAAATTTATTTTCTATATAAAATTCGAGAACCGGCTAAAACCGGTTTTTAAGCAAAATTAAAATTCGAAAACCGGTTTTCTGAAATGTCGATTTTTGTATAAACCCTATTAAAAACTGAATGGTAAAATTTATAAATTATAATAAATGTATAAACTATAGTCTTGATTTTACCTAATTCGTCTTTCGGGAACAAATTTGCAATTTCACCAGAGCTTAGCACGTTGTTTAGGTATTCCAAAAATCCTTCGTCTTTGATGTCGTTGTCGGTGAAAATGAATGAGATACCCTGGAAAGGAAATAATTGGGGTGAAATTGTTTAAAAAAAAGTATCTTTGTAGGGTTTGTTTTAATTAGACTAACAAGGAGCACCTTAGGTTTTCTCTTATAAGATTTAGATGAAACTTCGCACGTTGATAGAGTAGATGGTCAAAATGAAGCCATTAAAATATTATAGGTCTAATTATAAAAATTAACTAGTGGTGCATGGGATCGTGCCTTAAGACAAATTGCTGGAACTTTCCGTACCGTATTCAAGGAATGAAAGTAATCAATAATTGTTTTAAATAATTTCAAATAGATTATTTATTATAAATACATACTGTAAATTTATAAGTGCTTATTAAATTGGGTGACGAACGTATTCTACAAACTTATGTACATTGTGTATATTTATAAGAAATTTGTGCAATTTTTTTTCAAAATCTTAATTTTTTTTTCAAAATGTTGATTTTTTTTCAAATTTGAAATTTTTTTCATATAATATTTTTTTTTTAAATTTTGAAATTTTTGGAAAAAGTAGATTTTTTTAATTTTTTTGAGAATTTGGGAATATTTGATTTTTTTTAATCCATTTTTTCAAAATTTTGAATTTTTTTCAAAATTTAGAAAATTTTTTAGAAGTTCGATTTTTTTGGAATTTCTGAAAAAATCAATTTTTTTAAATGTATATTTACAAAAAATTTGTTCAATTTTTTTTTTAATTTGATTTTTTTGATAACTTTGAAATTATTCCAAAATTTAGATTTTTTTCGGAATTTTTGAAATGCAATTTTAAAAAAAAACGATTTTTTTTAAATGCACGTTTGCAAGAAATTTGTTCATTTTTTTTTAATTTGTTTTTTTGATATTTTTGAATTTTTTTTAAACTTCGAATTTATGAAAAAAATCGATTTTTAAGTGTATGTTTACAAGAAACTTGTTCAATTTTTTTTAAATTAGATTTTTTAAAATTTAGAAATTTTTTCACAATTTAGAATGTTTTTTAAAAGTTCAATTTTTTTGTAATTTTTGAAAAAATCGATTTTTTTAAAATGTATGTTTACCAAAGTCATTTTTTTGTTAATTTGATTTTTTTGATAATTTTGAAGTTGTTTAGAACTTCGAATGTATGAAAAAAATAGTTTTTTTAAATGTATGTTTACAAGAAATTTGTTCAATTTTTTTTTTAATTTGATTTTTTTTATAATTATGAAATTTTTCCAAAATTTTTTTTTATTTAGATTTTTTTAAACTATTTTTTTTAAAAAATTTGATTTTTTTTGAAAATTTGAAAATTGAGAGTCCATAAAAGCAAGACCTGCCTTTCCAAAAATTCAAACTAAGTCAATACAAATAAAATGTTTTTTGAATTATTCAAATCGGACGTTTCGTTATTTCAAAAACTGTAATACCATTTTTGGGACTTTTTGCCCCGTATCTCCAAAACGTCGAGACATGCCTTTGCCAAAAACTAATCAGCACGTATTCTCAACAATACGAATAGAATGTTTTTTGAATTATTTGAAATCTGTTAATCCGTGTTCCCGAAATTGTCGACGAAACATTGTATCCACACACACACGCAAATCTATTTTTTCTGAGGTATGCCAAAATGTTCAGAAACATTTGAAACGTAAGGATATATGAAATTTTGCAATTTTTGCGATTACTATAACACACCCTACGGAAAGTTAATTAAAGTTTAGAAAAATAGGTCATTTCGTTTTGGATATAAACTCTATCAGTATACAAAGTTTGAATTCAAAATAAATAAAATAAATAAATCTCAGAATAATAATCCTGAGGAAAGTTTTGATGTCTAAAATTCCAACCTGTCCTTTTTGCCCAGCGACTCTATACAAGAACTTGATATCGTCTTGAAGGTTAGTTGCATTGTACGATCTAAAACAAAAAATAAATATTAACAAACAAATCCCAAAACCAAAAATAATTCCATCCCTCTTACCTGGTCATGGTGATTTGATGGAACTGATAATTAGCCATAAACGATGCCAGTTTACACAAAGACTGCTTTCCTGATCCACCGACACCTACCAGCAGAGCATTTCCTCTGTTGAAAAAAAAACACATAAAAATAATAATTATAATTAAATGTGGGAATTATTTAAAAAATGCAAAACCTTGGTGTTCTGACTATTCTGGATATTGTAAACAGATGCACCAAAGCATCGTGGAAAAACACCATGTCCATATTGGCTCCACGAATGGTCTCGTTGAATGATGCCATGAATTGATGAACTTTCATCAGCACAAACTCCACACTAAAATAATAGATAGTTGTTATTAAAATTAATCTGTGTGGAAATCAATATGCATTTACAATACCTTGGAATTTCTTCGTATATCTTGGGAGCATCGAAACAAAAGTCTTCGGGTTCATCTCCTGTAACATCTGGTGGTTCTCGTAGAAAATCAACAAAGAACGTTTCTTCTTCGG